CCATAGAGCCCCCAGGACCCCACAGAGCCCCCAGGACCCCCCCAGAGCCCCCCACCCCCCCCAAATCCCTCAGACCCTCAGCAGCACCACCCTCCCGGCCTGCGCCAGGTCGGCCAGGTAGAGCAGGAGGTTGGCGGCGGTGCCCAGGGCCACCAGCACGGCGCGGTCCCAGGGGCACGGAGCCCCGCAGCCGTAGGGCCGCCTCGCCCGGCCCCCCCTGCTCTCGTCGAACGCCTCCAAAGGCCACAGCACCGTGGCGGCCCCGTAGGCCACCGCCCCCAGGGCCGCGTAGCCCACCAGGACCCTCCTGGCCCACGCGGCGTCCCACCCCCCGCAGCCCCCCGGGACCCCCAGGATCCCCCCGCACACCAGCACCACCAGCAGCCCCGCGGCCATGCTGGCCCCGTAGATCCCCAGACACCACCTCCACCCCGCCGCCCCCCCCGCCGCCCCCAGAGCGGCCGAGACCCCCAGCAAGATGGCGGCCGTGACGCACTGCGCCACCTTCAGCATCCCGGGGCTGGTGGCCAAATAAGGGACGGTTTCCCCCGGCCTCCCCCTGGTCACGGCCACCTCGGCGCCGTAACAAACGGCGGCCAGCGCCGAGGCGGCCGTGGCGGCGGCGCGGAGGTGGCGGCGGTGGCCGTCGGGTTGGTCGCGGAGTTGGCCCAAGGGCCACAAGATGGCGGCCGCCGTGCAGGTGATGGCGGAGGCCAAGGCCAAGGCCAGGGGCAGATCGCGGCGCGGCGGCGGGCGGCCGGCCAGGTGGGCGAGGAGGAGGAGGAGGGTGAAGGCGAAGCTCAGCGCCCAGGCGGCCACGCAGCCGTCGCCTTCGCCTTCGCCCCACGGCCCCGAGGCGGCCGCCATGCTGAAGGCCGAGGCGCAGCACAGGGCCTGAGCGCAGCGCCACGGCGTGGGGGGCGAGCAGAGCTGAGAGCGGGGCGGCATGGCTGGGGGAGAGGGGAGAGGGGTCAGGGGGCGGCGGGGGGGGGTCAGCAATGGGGCTGCGATGGGGGCGTCCATTGGGGTGGCAATGGGGCTTCCAATGGGGCATCCAATGGGGCACTAATGGGGCTGGGATTGGGGCTCAGTGGGGCGTCCATTGGGGTGGCAATGGGGCATCCAATGG